AGCGTCAATATCTTCGTCTAACTTACCAAACTCGACGTCACGCGTGAAGATATCCACGTGTTGTTGATTTTTTCCAGCTCTGTAGATGATCTTAAACTGAAATTCCTGAAGAAACATAGCCCACCTGGCAACCCGTGACTTCTCTGTACTCCAGAGCCACCTTAAGCTCTGATGATCGGTTCGTACGACAAACTCCTTGCCGCGTAGATAATGAGCGAAATGAAATATAGACCGGACGACAGCGTACGCTTCCAGCTCATAGATAGGCCACTTTGACTCCGCTGTGGTCAACTTCTTTGACGCGAACTGCAATACATGTACCTTGTCGCCTTCAGTCTGCTGAAGTACGCCTGCAATCGCGTATGTTGAAGCATCAGTGTCCAAGCAGAAAGGAAGGTGAGGTTGCGGCAGGTACAATGAAAGCTGCGCTTCTGACAACACCTTTTTCACAGAGTCGAAACTGTTTTGACAAGACTCAGACCAAACGAAATCTTCCGCTGTGATGAGTCCCTGCAAGGGTCTCACCAACGAAGCATAATCTCTGATGAACTTGCTCAAGTAACCAACCAGTCCTAGGAACCTACGAACTCCATTGACATCCTCAGGAGGCGAGAGCCTCTGAATGGTCTCCATTGACTTCTTTGACGGGTAAACCTTGCCTCGCGATCGCGAACGAGAGGGCCTCCTGGATGGCTTCTTTTTCCGGTCCCGGCGCTGCTTGGCATTCTGGTAGTATCGATTCTCCTTCTCATACTTGTCATTGTACATGTTCGCTAAAGTTTGTAGAAGCTCGCGATTGTTTCTAATGTCCTCGATACTAAGCTTGAAGGATCCACCGGGTTCTGGGCGGAGGTAAGCATGCCTGTCGCCGAGAGGTCCCTTCCTGGTAATCTGCCAGCAGTCTTCTTGAACATGGCCAGGCCGTTTGCAGTTGTCGCAGACTGGTTTGTTCAGACATTTGAAACTGATATGGTCTGTTGAGTGGCACCACTTGCATTGTCTGAGGTGGTTCGAGTTTACCGCAGGCATTGCCCAGTGTCTTGTCTCTTGAACCGTATTGAGTGCTGGCTCTATCTCTTGCCTAATTTGTTCTGCACTGACGATAACTTACATCCGACCGAATCTTTATTTCGATTTCTCGGTCAATCTTCCAAGTCAAAAACAGTCAATAATCTAACGCATGGTATCTCGACTTCTGATTCCAACGACGGCACAACTCCTTGAACCTGGCTTTCAACAGGAGGAAGTGATCTATAACCTTCATGGTATCAGTACCACGGTCTTGAGTCTGTAGCCTTTGACAGACAACATTTATCTCATCGCTGAAAGGGAATAGTACGATAGCGTACTTGTCGATGAATTCTTCATATGGTAGTAACATCAGTCTCTCACGCGCGATACGATCTTGGTTGTTCGGAGTAGACTTGAGAATCACTACTTCCTTCAACTCTGCGGGCAGGTAGAGCATTGACGAAGCGACCCGCTTCCATTTGGTCAACGTCTCGTCGAAGTCTCTTTCGGACTTCGGATTGAACTGCACATCACCACCAATGTCCTTGATAAGATGCCGGACACGTTTCTTGTCCGAGGAGGACGTGTAGGAAGTTAAGAAGGTGTCTTCACCTTCGGAGAAGACATGATCATCTTCACTGTCAGAGTCGCCCGGAGACATGTTATACTCGAGGACATTGGGGGGGATTACTTGATCGACTAGTTTGGAATGGCCACGAGTACCCAGGTCGTCCACCATGATTTGTTTCTGGGCTTCGTGGCTATCTATCGAATGAATTGTAGGCTGGGACAATTTTTGTGACGTATGAGCGCCCCACTCAACGACGCTGGACGCACGACTCGACTGAGGCAGGACATCTCAGTCCACACAAGTAAAGCAAAGAGCTGGAGGGCGATAATAATAAAAAATTTAGCATTCCGCAAAGTAGAATTCAATTTTCATTCAACATCGATTAGCTAAGTTCCACCATGTCGCAGCCGACGATTCATTCGACAGATAGCCACGAAGCCCAGAAACAAAACAAAAATTGTTGAGTTGATTGTTGGTATCGTGGTTGCTCGCTGGGTTGCTCAGGTACGAGTGCCGAATCAGGTTCTCCTGTCTGTGTCCGAAAAATAAAATCTTGGTTGTCGTGACGTATGCGAATGGAAGACTCCTTGCGGACGAGAGCGAAATGGAACCTCGGAGTACTGGCGCTGTCCATCAGGTGTCGGTCGGTATGTGTCTGTCATAGTCGGAGTTGAGGTCCTTTTCGATATGGCAGAAGCATCAGTCTCTCGCGGGCGATGCGGTTGAGGTTGTTCGGAGTATACTTGAGAATCACTCTTTCTTGAGATGCCGGACAAGTTTCTTGTCCGAAGAGGACGTGTATGAAGTCAAGAAGGTGTCTTCGCCATCGGAGAATAGATAGTCATCTTCGCCGTCACTGTCGCCAGGAGGCATGGCATACTCGAAGACGTTGGAGGGGGTTACCTGATCGGTGGGCTTACCGGTCACGATTACCGAGGTCGTCCACCATGAGTTGGTAATTGTCGTGACGTGCGTGAATGGACTTCTCAGTAGTCCCACAGTTGGTGGTGCGTCGAGACGTAACAGCTCAATGACGGGCCGGCAACGGGGTTTTTGATATAGGGGAGACAGAGGGTAGCATGGCGACACACACACCTGACGCGATACCCCTATTCCGCGACTCAGACGACGAGCTCAGCGTTAGCAGGCCGTCCCCCAGCACCCAACAGGACGCACCAATGGCGATCGCTACTGGATGGGTTGCTGCGGACGTGGGCTTCATCGAGGAATCGCGGTTTGCGAATACGAGAGTCATCGCGAAACAGTCTGCAAAGGATGACTGGATCGCCAAGGTCACCGCGCAGCCCTTGCCGCCGATGAGAGTCGACAACGAGGAACACTTCGAAGGACTGGGTCGACGAAGTGGTGGGCCTGGTCAACCGCGCGGCCCACAAAATCGACGAAGAAAGTATGATAGAGGTGCTTTGGGCGCAAATACCTCCTGCGAAGCGACAGCGCCTCGCAAGGGTAGACCGGGGTCCCGGCATACCCGTGGAACAGTTCATTTCGGACGTAGCGCGTCTTCTCTTTCCGACGTCGACATATGCCATGGAGGCGTATGTCGCGGCGCTGACGGTCTCGCCGAGCGACTTCGTGCAGCTCTCCGACGTATTATTAGCTAGAATTGCCCGCTATGTGAGACTAGCGCGTAGATGGGGTCTCACGGAGACAATAACCCGCGCAGGGCTCGACATGCGTATTAGGCGCGCCGCGTCACCCCAGTGGCGGACGTGGTATACGAATATGTCGGTCAGGGGGAAGTCACTCCTAGACGTAGTTGACAGCGTGTGCATCAACCTCGAAGCACAGACGCGGGTCTTGGCCGTTGTAGACCCGGCAGTACACGTCCAACAATCGCCCGTAGAGCAACCATCGGAGATGGTTGAAGAAGAACAGCTAGGCGAGGTGCAAGTCGGCTCACCTGTATGCGCCACCTGCGGAGGGTACCCTCACCCACGCAACGGCGTATGTCCGGCACGCGACTCAACGTGCCTCAATTGCGGCAAACGCGGTCACTGGGCCAGAGTGTGCCCCACTCGGTACTACAAGGATAGTTATGGACGTCCCGTGCACTCCGTGACTCAAACGAAGAGTGGGACCATATTCGTGAGAGTTGGTGGCGACGTGAC